AGACCCGTAATTCTGAAATTTAGGCTTCCCAAGTTTTTATTACTGCGATTGTTTTCGGATTTTGCCATCTTGGCTTCTACTGAAAAAAAAAAAAAAAAAACACAATGAAAGGGACACAACTCTCTAACTTTCAATAGTTCATGTTCAAATGAAAAATTACTGTTCTCAAATTACACAGTTTAAATAAAATGAATCCGTGTTTTCAACTTTCCTTTTAGAGGCCGTAGCCTACAACATCATACCCGTTTGGAATCAGGCCGACTCCGTGAGCAAATTAAAAACATTTCGGACCGGATCTGCACACGCTGTCCTGAAATTGTTTTCGCCAATTTTTTACGCCATTTTTTTCCGACGATTATTTTTGTACGATAGCAGTTTTTATAAGTTGGAAATAAATTTGGGAATAATCAAAATTAATTGTGAAATTCAACGAAAGTCACCCATGAAATAAAAATAACTTTTTGTACGGAAAGTAAGGACCTACCTACATCAAATCGTCTTTACGTTAAGTTGACCTTTTAAAAGGTAAGTTTTAATCTTATGCAATACTTAAATGCCGTGATCAAAGTTGAATTTTTTACTTTCTTGTTGCCTATTACAGCTTCTCCTCTATACCTATTGTGATGAAGGCCCAATCAAGCACCATCTGCAGGAGTTAGTTTAAAAGCCGCCCAATACGTCGGCTTTTAAGCTAGCTAAGAAAAAATTTTCTATTTTATGACCCCTTTTTGTTTTGTTGTGCACCTTGTAGCGTCCATTTGTTTAACCATGGATGTTGTCCGTTGATTCCAATTTTGTCTCTTGCATCCTGTAATTATTTTACGAGCCATTTCCTTTCAGGATGTGAGTGACCACGCCTCTCCACATCTTCCTGTCTTTTGTTGCTCGAAATAGCGATTTACTCTTTACCACTGATTTTTCTCTTTCTCTTTGTTCTGCCACCCATTCACTTATTGTATATGCTGTATCCCTTCAAAAAGTGGGTGATCATGACTCTCCACAACTTCCTGACCTGTTGTTCTAAGTAACGTTTTATCTTTTGCCATTCATTTTTTTTCTGCAATCCATACTTTTATTTGCTGTACCTATCCAGGAGATAAGTGGTCATGGTTCTTCACAACTTCCTCTCCTTTTTGGTTAAACTTGTGACACTTTATCAATTCTCTTTAGGTTTGTTTTTCAATCCAGGTACTTTTATTATGTGTTGTGTCCTTTCAGCACGTAGTTGAATATGGCTCTCCACAACCTTCTGTCTTCTCTTACTCGAAGTAATGTTTGGTCCTATATATTTAATGTGTCTTCAGCCATTCCTTAAGTTCTTTTAGCTGATGTGTCCCTTGAGGACGTGGACTCTCACGGCTCTCCATAACTGCCTGTCTTCTGCTGGTCGAAGAAACCTTTTACCCTTTACCATCCATCTTTACTTGTTCTGTCGTCCATTTCTCTTTCCTTCTATATGTTCGGTGGGTGTTATATAATCTAAGCCCACTTTCCTCATTGCTGTTCTTATTTTACTTAAGACCTCATCATTGCACACTTATAAACATCATTGAACTCTCAGTATCTGTCGGTAGAACCACATTTCGACCGTTTCAAGATTTTTCATCTTTGAGAAGATTGTTTAGCGTCCGCTATAATATAGAATATTAAATGTCGCATAAAATTAGGGACATATTTCTTTGTTTTTAACGGTGTTTTTCCTATGCCTTAATCCTTTTCTTAGTTTCGGAAAAACTTTTATCTCTATTCCCATGTGAGTTTGATTTTCTGTGCCAAATTTCCTGTGTTCGGATAATACGTAACTAGATAGTTAAATTTCTGTATATGTTGGATTTAAACATCCCTAAGATTTAGCTTAGACCTAAAGCGGTGTATTTTGATGGCACCCATGCATTCTGCTTATTTTACACTTAATAGTTAGTCCTTTCTTCTTGCTTTCTTTTACTAACTTCGGTAAATTGTGTAGAGTGGAAAATAATTCATCGTCCACAAAGGTACGCAGACGATAGTGTTCAAAAGCGTTACTTGTGGCTGTTAAATTATTTTTTACTCTCTAAATCCATTCTCATAGCAAACAAAGCCACGGAGACGAAAGAGTTCAAAAGCCACGGAGATGAAAGAGTTCGAAAGCGTCTGCGCGTCCTCGAGAAAGAAAAATATTTTACCATTTTATAACACATTACTATAAGATAATGTTTAAATCAGGCAACCATGAAAATTAAATTAATTGGAAACTGTTTAAAATTATTCGAACATATTTAAGTAACATATTTTATTAATTACATTTTCATCAAATGTGCAGACAGACGGATGTAATAAACAGTTTAAAAAACGAGACGTCTGTTCAAAGACGAGTATAAGCATTTTGAATTTAAATATAAATCCATTCATTCTTTATAAGTTGCTTTGATTCTTTTCCGAGACGAAATCGAGATGATATGAAATTTCAAGAATCAATGCTATAGGCATTCCTTAAAAGTTAAATATAACTTTGCTCGACCGTGAAGCTCTCTGTGACTGAGCGGTTTAAAGCACATCGGATATACAGTGGTTTATTATACAAATAAGAAGTGGCACGATCGAACACTGCCGTAGAGCATATTTTCTTAATTACGTTTTTATCGGGTGTACAAGCCGATCGACGTAATAAACAGTTTAAAAATCGACACGTCTGTTCAAACACGAGTTTCCACTAAAAATAACGCTTAAAAGAATAAAAGTGTCGAAATAAAAATAAGACCATTAATTCTTTATATATTTCTAAAGAATTAATGTATTATTGAATACATGAACTGCGATCAAATAAAAAAAAACAAATATGGATAGGATGAAGAACAAATTGTTACGGTTTTTTGTGTATATGCTGTGTAACTAGTGAGCGAGTCAGAATGACTTAATTCCCTTTATAGTCGACCAATAGAAGGTTGACCAATCAGAAGCCGCTGAACATTGTATCCGTCGTGTATAAAGGCGGCCATCTTTGTTTTCTCACCGGAAGGACCAGAGGAAACTTGTCCGGCGAATATGACAGACGGAAGAACTACGCTCTGCTACTTTGCTGCGATATCCACTGCGAACCTGCACTACGCTTTCCTACTGTCTCCGAAATATTCACTGCCAACCTCTGGATTCTATACTCGAGGACGACCGTCACGAAAATGTCTAACACATATAAGAAACGTTTATAAATCTAACATGTTTCAATTATAGTAAAGATTCATCAGAGAATAAGATATGAAGAAAAAAATTATGGGATGTTTTGTGCTGCTTGAATTTCATTGGTCAAACAGGCTTCATGCGCATTTGACTTGTTACACAGTGATCTTATTACGTCCGTTTGCCTGCATATTCGATGAAAACTTAAGAACATATGTTACATGGAGTGTTCGAATAATTTTAAACAGTTCCCAATTATTTTAATTTTCATGGTTGCCTGATTTAAGCATTTCGTAGTCCACATTTTGGGTGATTCTTCTGACTTCATACAATTGTTGTAATAACCCTTTCTTCCGCTTCTCATTACTTTTTAGTAGTGCTTTTAGTTTAATTTTTGTCCTTGTCATGCAATATACTACGTTGCCAAGATTGTTTCCAGCAATAATAAATCCAGGTAGGACTTCTAGTCCACTCAGGATTGCTCTAAATCTTGAATAAACTCGGTGAGATCATCATCATTGCTTGGCTTCGCTTCGCAAAACGAAGATCCCGAGGGAATCTGTAGACGTCGCTTGTAGGAACGCTTCGGACAGGTAAGTCCAGTCCGGGACAGGTATTGCCGTAATTGCAGCTAAAAGTCTGGCCTGGGATCGATGGCACAACATTGCAGTACCTCCTCCTCTGCCTCCTGTCCCTGAGAGTGCCCCTGTAGGTATTTTCAAAGGAGACATCATAGTTGGTGGTAAGACGCCAGATGTCACGGTTCTCTGTTAGGATTGAACATTGGCAATGATTGATGTGATAGGCAACGAAGGTTTTTTCAGACAATCTTTGTATCGCTTCTTTGGGGCGTCTCTGCCACAATAACCAGCAGAGAGCTCGCCGTATAATAAAATTTTAGGAATATATATATATATATACTCGACTCTCCCGTCGAATTCGACGTATGATGGTCAAGCAGTCTTGGTTCCTAGGAAACCGACAGCTCGACATCAGCACATGAGATTTGATTATAGTGGTGAAGGTTTCGTGCAGGACCATCCACACTTTTTGAAGGGCCGAATACAGGTTTTGAATTAAGAGTTTCTCCTAGACTAGTTGCCATCCAAGGCTATAGAACCCAGTCTGTCCTGCTATTTACCCATAGCTGGAGGGAGAAGAAGAGGATTCACACCTTTCCCAAGGTTATTAGCATGTAAGTGAATGTAATGGATTCGACTGGAATTCGAACTCGGCTCTCCGATTCCTCAATCCAAGTCGCTATCCATTACGCCACCGTATACATACACACGCGCGTGTGCACACACACACACACACACTCAAACAAACACACACACAGACATATATATATGTGTGTGTGTATTTGGATTTTATTTCAATACTTCATGAACATCTGATCCTTAGCTATGATTAATTAATGATGAATATATCATTTTAGTTTATGGTCGATTTCATCTCAATTCTTCTCTTAAGCATAAAGAGTAATTATACATTCTTTTTGCTCAAAGTAGAGTGCAGTAGTGTCAGAAAATCCTAGAAGAATTCCAGTAACATATCTTTAATCATTTATAAGATACAATGGTTGAGAGCTTAATCTAACAAATTAACAATTTTGTTTTTATACGATTTGAACAATTTTGCTGTTACACACAATATATAACTTAAGAAAGAAACGCAGCTAAAATTGGACTTACTCCATCTGGGACAGAGAGCAATGCACAGGGTTATTCATTTAGAGTAAGCGGGTGGGGTATTTACGTTTCTACAAAGACTAGCTCAATGTATTTTTGCCAAGTCACCGTAGCCCTCAATGAGACCAAACAACCTTGACAGGCACATTATACACCCGACTCTTGCAATATATCAGAGAGAAAAAGAATACACGAGAGAGTCTAAAAGAGAAAGAGAAGCGGAAGTCGGAGTGATGAGGATGTTTGAGCGGGTATGTCTTGCCTTCCGAATTTCGATCGGTCTTCCGGTCGGGCCAAATGCACGAGGAATGGATTTGTTTAAACCGAAGGCTCTCCAGTAAGAATATCGATAATTTTGGCGGAGTTATTGATTTTTTTTTTTTTATTATTTTGTTGAGGCGATCGAAAATAGAAATGGGAAAAAGACGATGGAAGCAGGTGGGGAGGTTGCGGGGATAATCTCTCTTAAGCGCAATGGATTCAAAGAAAGTATGAAGGCGGGAAGGACGCTCGGGCTGAAGATAGAAATAGATTTTAAAATGGCATTGTATATATAGGTATGTATATATCTAGAGTAAACATTTATATCTTGGCATATGGTACAGACACACACCCACACACACACAAACACACACACACACACACACACACACACATATATATATATATATATATATATATATGTATATAAGATTTAAGAAGCAGTAGATATTTTTATGTAAAATATTATAATTTAAAATTTGATTACATGAATCATTCCTACAAAAAGTAGATTGATAAAGTTAATGATATGAATGGCGAAATTCAAGTTGTATAAGGTCTTTTTTTTATTTTGCTAGTACTTTCAGCTATACTTACAGCCATCCTCAGGCATGGAAATTAATTTGTTTTTTTTTTAGTAAATCCAAGTAGTCGAGGGACACGAAAGATTAAATGAGAATCGAAATATGTTTTTTTTTTTTAGAAATTTGTTATTGTTAAGAACTTTTGAAACGTGCAATCGCAACGCTTAGCTTGAAATTTTTTTGAAAATTTAAGAGATTCCGTTTTTTTTTATTAATATGTTAATTTGAGAATTTTTTTGTTGTAGGAATTTTTCAGTCGATGTGGCATGAACGAAATTGTTCAATAAATAGAGTAATGTCGCAGCTGTTATCGCGATAATTTGCAGGTCGGATCAGTTCTTTTTTAAATCAAATATGTAGTGCACTTCAATTTATATTACAATGAATTATTCATACAAAAAAGTAATATAAATTGAACTGCACCACATATTTGATGGAAAAGTCCTTTGGAATTCTTCCCTCCAATTTGTTTTTAATGTCTTCACTTTGTTCCGCGTCTTTTTCAGTCCACTTTTTACTTTTTTGCTTCAAAATTAAATATCTTTTATGGTTTATATAGAAGTTATGTTTTTAATTAAACATTTACCGGGTTGAATTTTCGAGAAACTTCGTCAAAAATATACGTTCTCCGACAGGAATCTAACCTGGATTCTTATACGGAAACCGTCATTTGACTTGGCGACTTTACTATTCAGCTACAGAGCAGCATCTGGTTAGCAAAGTTCGAATTATTGTTTATAAACACACAATCTTCGGACTTCATCTATTTTAATATATGCCTCGATAAGGACCTGTCTGTGGTTGACTGGGGCAGGAAAAGGCTTGTAAACTTTAATGCCTCTAAACCAAAAATGCTCCCATTTACCCACCATAGACAACCCTCCCTGCCTCCCATCAGGATGGCTGATGCCAAACTCTACGAGAGCGGCTCTCTGTGCCTGCTTGGCCTTACGCTTTTCATTGACCTGAGGTGGAACAACTATATTGAATCTATAGCTTCATCTACCGCAAGGAAAGTTGTTTTCTCCGTGCCACCCCAGAAGGTTTTTCATGCCTGTGTACATCCTTCAAATCTACCAATCTACCATTCGTCCTTGTATGGAATAATGCTACCATATATGGTCTAGTGCCCCCTCGGTCCTCGACAAAATCCAGAGATGGATATGCAATGTGATAGGTCCTGATCTGGCATCCCGTCTACAGTCCCTTTCTCACAGATGTGCTGTGGCTTCCCTCTGTCTTTTCTATAAGTATTTTCATGGCAGCTGCTCCGACGAGCTACTTTCACTGGTTCCCAAATTACTTGAATTTAAGCGTGCTACTAGGTTGGCATCTCAGCCCCACCCTTTCACTGTCGAAACGACTAAATGTAACCGACTCTCCTACTCCAAGAGCTTCTTCTCTCGCACTTCCCGACGGTGCAACTACCTTCCACGTATTTGATTCCCTGATAGCTATAATCTTCAAATATTCAAATGTAATGTTAATCGACTTGACCTTGATCCCTGTCCTCCTCTTTTTCCTTTTCCCAGACACTCCTCTTTACTCTTACTCCCACTCTCTTTAACCTCTTGCGTGCTAGTGGCACTCCCGCCTTGCTTGGGGTGAAAAGCTTAAAAAAACCTGCCATTGTTTACGTTAAGATACGCTTCGTAAGCAGATATGAAGGAGGCACGGTGGAGTAATGGATAGCGACTCGGATTGAGTTCGAATTCCAGTCGAGTCTATTACATTCACTTCCGTCCTAATACTTGGGAAAGGTATGGATCCTCTTCTTGTCACCCAGCTATAGGCAAATAGAAAGACAGACAGTGACCTTGGATGGCAACTGATCTACCACAGAAAGAATCAACAAACTGCTGCGGGAAAAAAAAACACCTGCCTCGTCAGTCATGTATTGAAATATACATGATCGCCTAAGCGTGTATCACATATGGCAGATAGCTGACGGACTGACTTTCTAGTCGAATCCATTATATTCACTTACGTGCTAATACCCTTGGGAAAGGTATGAATGCTCTTCTATGAGCAAATAGCAGGACAGACCGGTTTCTATAGCCTTGGATGGCAACTGGTCTACCGCGGAAAGAAATGGCTACCTACCTCGTCAGTCATGTATCGAAATTATGGTAGATAATATAAGCACATATGATCAAATGAGAAAAATCGTCGAATCAGAAGAACACTAGTCTGAATGATTCTTGAAATATTGTCAGTGATTCAATGCACGATTTCTCGCAAGAAAAGGAAGAACGGAGGAGCATATGTTGAAAAGAAATGATCGAAACTAGAAAGGCACGAACCCAGTTGATACTTGGAACAGTGACGATATTTCAGACTAGTTGCATTATCTTCCAAGCAAGGACTGCTCTAGATAGGTCTTACTATTTTTGCTATTTTTCTAACAGATGTTAGGTCAGTTTCGGCGAACTTGACTTGATCGACGGAAACTCTAATCGCGAATATTCGCCGGGACATCGCGTGGGTGATAAGATACCGATCATATCCGTTTGACCAGAAGAAACAGACTTTGAAGCCTACCACCACTCAATGCAAGGATTCTGTGTCTCTCTCTCCTCCTAAAGCAGACATAACTGGCCACAAATTCCAACCAACATGCCAACTTATACATTCTTCCCTTGAATTGAATATCGACCCATTTTTGGCACAAGTGGTCAGCGTTAAAATATCATTAAGACTCTATTAAACATTATGCCATTAATTAAAAGCGTAACTCGGCGCGAGATTTAAATCAGCCTTGTATTAAACGTGATAATGATCGCGAAAGTAGACCTCCCATTTGTTATTGTTAATCTTATTTCAATTTTTGCATGTACTGTGCTTTAAAATGTTTCAGCTGTAAACGGCTACTTAAAATGGTTCATCTGTCAAACGGCAGCTTAAAAATGTTTTACCCTTTAAACGCTTGCTTTAAAATGTTTCGGCTTTTAAATGGATGTTTGAAAAATGTTTATTCTGTCAAATGGCTACTTAAAAATTAGTTCGGCTGTTAAACAGCTGCTTAAAAAAATGTTTCGCCCTTTAAAAGTCAACTTAAAAAATGGTTAAGCTTTTAAACGGCTGCTTAAAAAATATTTCACCCTTTAAAAGTCTACTTAAAAAATGTTTCGCCTTTTAAAAGTCTACTTAAAATATTTCACCTTTTAAAAGTTTAGTTAAAAAAATTTCACCTTTTAAAAGTCTACTTAAAAAATATTTCACCTTTTAAAAGTCTACTTAAAAAAATATTTCGCCTTTTAAAAGTCTACTTAAAAAATGTTTCGCCTTTTAAAAGTCTACTTAAAATGTTTCACCTTTTAAAAGTCTACTTAAAAAAGGTTTCACCTTTTAAACGGCTGCTTAAAAAATGTCTCGGCTATTAAACTGATGCTTAAAACATTGTTTACGCTTCGAAGAAATTTCAGCTGCCTTCTGATTTTGAGCAGGAGTTTTTTTTTGTGTTGCAATTTTTTTTAAGAGTTTCACCTTGCTTACTCACCCTGTCCATAGAATTCTCAGTATCCCCCGGTAGAAAGGCATTTCCGTTAGTTATCTTTTTCTCCTTATCAGTGAAGAGATTGTCAAAGATCCACTATCATATAAGAGGGTGGATATCACATAGCAATCCACCTCTCTTTTCTTTGTTTCTAAGGGAATCTTTCGATTTCTGTTTTGTGGGATCTTGATTAGCTTTCAACTGTTTCTTTCTCTAGTCCAATGCGTGTTTTGGAAACCCCACCAGGTTGATCAAATCATAGGAAAACTTGATATTGTTTGATACAGATCAAGCTAATTTCCTTGAACGAAGAATGGGTGTTGGAGGTCATCAGTTTGAGTGAGAGACAGAGAGAAAATCACTGCAGAGAAAACACCCCTTCATCACCTGCACCAAAGAAGGACAAGGTTGTATCATCTGCAGGGAAGGAATATCCTCAGTATTTTGCTGGGGAAACAAGAGGCATTGTATTTATTGACTATCATCAAAAGGGCCACATCATCAACGGAGAGTACTATACAAACATTCTGAAGCAGCTACGAAAGGCTATTAAGACCAAACGCACAGAACTGAGGAAATGGGCCTTGTTTTATCAGAACATTCACCAGCATCCAAGACTTTGGTTTCATTGGCTGTTTTGCGTGTATCTGACTTTGAACGGAATAATACTCACCCTGTTATCCTGATTTAGCCCTATTTGACTATCATGTGTTCCCCAGCATGGCAGACCTGGAAACTATGATGATGATGTGGCATTTGCTGTAGATTACATCCGAGGCCAACAGGATGTACGTTTGCTCATCAATTTGATCCATGCACTACAGCACAGATGAAAGGAGTGTATGCACCGCACGGGGGATATCTTAAAAAACGTCGATGTTCATATTCCTTGAGATTATCATGGTCAGTCTGTGAACTTTTCAGCCAATCCTCGGAAGGGAACTTATGATTTCATCATCGGTGGCTCAAGCCGGACAGATGAAAATCTATCCGCTGTTTAGTATGAGCATTCTATTAAGAAAACCAGTACTTAATGATATGAATAATTATTTATTTAAATTTTCGAACTATTGTTCTCTTCTTCGTGGCTGTAATCTCGACGTTTTGGCCGTTGTACGCTCAGGCTTACTTCAGTTGATCGGAATTTAGAACGGAACATTTTATTTCGTCCACCGGGATAGACTGTTCAAGTTCCACGTGCCATGCCTGTTACGGCTGTCCTAGTATCAGTTATCTCCCATTTAACTCAACTCTCCAAGATTCTGTTCACCCCCGTGCTATGTCTGTCCCGGATGTCTCACTATCAGTAAATTTTTGTTCATGAAGCAATGAAGATGAGGAAAACACTCCGAACTATGTAAATAGTATAAATAATTACAATACCTCATTTAAAAAATATAGGCAGATAAATATTTAGCAAACACATAGGCTACTTTTGTCTCTTGTGTGATCTGTGTAGGCATGACTTGAAAAACATATTCTGTGGTCAATGACTGCTGTCTTCAATGGTTACACCTGAGGTGTATTGGCAAGAGAATCGTATAAGTTTTGGTGATGTTGTTATGCCTGAAGCTTGCGTCTTTGTGTTTGGGCAGAGTTCTCTCAAGGTCGGCTTCTTCAAAGCACAGAGTCGCAACTGAGTCAAATTATACTGTGAGGTGCCCGGCCCTGGGGAACAGCTGCCCGTAGACGCACTCTCTCATTGCACCAGATATATATATATATATATATATATATATATATATATATATATATTTTCAGTGCTCGCACCGAGGCCAGCGCAATTTTTGTTCCTGGCCCCGGTGTACACGCTCGGGTCCCACCTTAAAAAAAAAGACTTTATGTCACTACTCGTCTTAGTGGGGAGACAGAGTAAATACCTGCTGTTATACTTGAAGTGCTTAAATTATTCTGAGTCTTCGATATTTTCTTTTAAAAACTGATGATGTAGAAATGATTTTAACTTGTATTTTAACAAGTTATGGTACAAAAGATTTCAAATCATCCTAACAATTGATGATGAAGATGAATAAAGTTCTTTGTTAAATCTGTGTATTGTTATTTTAAACATTACCTGATTTCATGATAATATTTACCGGCAAAATAGCCTGGTGATATATTTTACTGAGACCGGTAAAATAAGCTTAAACCCATGTTTGTCTATTTTACCAGAACCGGAAAAATAAATGCGAAACCCGTTCGTATCGACCGGTGGTTCGGAATTTTACAATTAAGATGAAAATTCGATACGAACTGGACGATAGCAACCGAAAATAATCATCAAATTATTAACCCTAACCCTTTTCCGCTCAATTTTCCTGTCGGTTGCCCTGAAGAGATTCATTCGTTTCCGATGAGTATCCGCACGTAATCAAATGATTTTGATTTCAAAGCTTACCAAGTCTCTCTGACATGAAGGTACAAGCAGTAATTAGTTCTTTTTGTTAAAGAGTAGGTGGGGATAGCGTGACTGGAATATATCAAAGTAGTTTTGCTTTAAACGATATTCATACTCTCCGAGGCCCAAGAGCCCCTCGATGTAGATCCATACAGTGGAAGAGGCACCATTCAAATATTTAGAAGGAACTGGAGAGCTCTACTTCTGTTCAAAAAACCGGTTAGGAGTGTCAACTGGACGATAGGTGAAACTATTTACCCCCCAAAACTATTTACTCCACCCAATATTAACCCCACCAAAAAAATTTACCCCCACCGATTGCTATTTACTCCTCCACAGAAACTATTTAGACCCCCAAAAACTATTTACCTCACCCAAAAAACCTTCTCACCCACAAAAAAAAAAAATGATAAATAGTAAACAAAATACAGTGTAACCCGGATATAAGAGACCCGGATATAAGAGAAACCCGGATATAAGAGAGATTTTCTCCGGTCCCAAATTAGAGCCTGTGTTAATGTATATAAAATAGACCAAACCCGGATATAAGAGAGATTTTCTCCGGTCCCAAATTAGAGCCTGTGTTAATGTATATAAAATAGACCAAACCCGGATATAAGAGAAACCCGGATATAAGAGACTTCTTCTCCGGTCCCGACAACTCTCTTATATCCGGGTTACACTGTATATGATATTAGAAGCACAGAGTTGAAGTAAACTTTAAAGGAACCGGAAACCGAATCCTAAACAGGAAACAACATATAAACCTCTTTTCGTATTCGAAGGACCAGAAAGAAGTGTGAAATGGGCGATAGGTAACTCAATTACTCCTGTTGGAGAAAGAAAAAAAGAATTTAAAAAAAAATAGTAAATAAAACTTCAGAGTTTTAGAAAGAGACATTAGAAGTATAGAGAGGAAGTAGACTTTAGAAGGAACCGGAAACCCAGTCTTAAACAGGAAGGAAGAGATCAACATCTACTCCTGCAGACCTGGGAGAAGTGTGAACCGGATGGTAGGCAAACCTATCTGCTCTTATTTCGCGATATACTGGCTAATATTATTCTTTGGCAATATCTTCATCTGTCCGATATCAGTCCCAATTCTCTGCTTAAACGTGGAAACGAGATTTCCTAAACATTTTTAAATGCATTTTTTTTTCATTAAAAAAATAGTTTTAGGAAGAGACGTTAGAAATATAGATTTGAAGTAGACTTTAGGAGGAACCGGAAGTTTAATCCTAAAGCGGAAACAGAGAATAAACCTCTGCTCCTGCTAAAAATAATCAAAAAACTGGAGAGTCTGAACCGAATGATAGGCGAATCTATCTAGGCCTTTCATTGACAGTACCAATTTATATTAAAATAGGTACCTCCACGAGATCGCTAAAAAAAGAGCATAGCATGATGAAAAAGACGCCAAACTTGACGAAAACAAAATTTTATCGTCTAAATGTTTGTTATTATTAAGAGGAAAGGTCAAAGTATTTTTTTTGGTATTTTTTACATTTTTAATCGTTCCTTGCACGTCCGAAATTTTCGTTAAAAAATCTAGTTTTTTTATGAGTCAGCAAAATTGAACATTTT